CAGTAACTGAGCTGCATGATAGAGACACTGAAGATTTACAGTAAATGATTCCAATTAAACATCTTCTCTGTGCAGTGGTTAACACTAGTGACCTGCAGGAGCGTGGACTGAGCAGGGGCGTGCACAGCAGCACAGACCAGCCCTCTGATCCAGTTCAGGTTCTGTTTTTAACAGGCTGATCTCTGCTGTGTGCGCAGCTCTTCTCTAACTGCAGTAAGCGCTCCATAGTGAAGCGCCTGAGGTCGAAGGCCCCCACCTGCTTCAAGGAGAGGAACATCAACGTGTGTGGAAACTCTCGGGTGGAACAGGGCGAGGAGTGTGATCCTGGCCTGCTGCACATCAACTCGGACAGCTGCTGCACCGCTGGCTGCAAGCTGCGGCCTAGAGCTCAGTGCAGGTCAGACTTCCACACACAGCTCCACACTGGGGAGGTGTTTACTGGGCAGTTATTAGGAACACCCGTCTCATGCCCTCATCCTCCTCTCAACAACCGTCTGTGTGTGTTCAGCGACAGGAACAGCGCATGCTGTAAAAACTGCAGGTTCGAGTCTGAAGGTGAAGTGTGTCAGGAGCCCATCAACGCCACCTGTAAAGGACGCTCCTACTGCACAGGTCTGCTCACAGATGTGTTTAATAGATGCTGAGCAAAGGTGTGACTGCCTCGTCCAGTCAGATCTGCCGACTGGTCCTGGTGTCTCATGTCTGCTGTGTGTTCGTGTGGACAGGCAACAGCAGCGAGTGTCCTCCTCCAGAGAACGCCCCAGATACAACAGGGTGTTTGGACAGCGGCGAGTGTCTGAACGGAGAGTGTGTGCCTTTCTGCCAGGCTGTCCTGAAACTGCAGCCATGCGCCTGCAACGGTACGAAGCTGTTAGTGTAGAACTGCACTAATCAGTCCCTGCATAGTGACAGTGGATGAGTTGGCTTTCAGCCTTGTTTAGCTCCTCGTTTTGGTTTTGCAGCACATTTCCTGCCCCTGACGAGCCACAGTCCACTCCCTGCCACAGATACGGCGACTAGCCTGCAGACTGACTTGCTGTATAACTAACAACTGCTTCTTTCTTCTTCACAGAAACCAACTCGTCATGTAACGTGTGCTGTCGGAACGGCAGCGGGGTGTGCGCTCCGTATCAGGACAAAGCAGGCAACTTCCTGTTCCTGCGTAAAGGCAAACCCTGCACTGTGGGCTTCTGTGACGGAGCCGTAAGTTTCACCCACACACCGTTTCTCCTGAAGCACAGCTCTTTACAGCAGGGTGCGTAAATGAGTGGATGCTGTTGCTTCTGCAGGGGAAGTGCAATAAGCAGGTGCAGGACGTGGTGGAGCGACTGTGGGACTTCATCGACAAACTGGACATCAACACGTTCGGGAAGTTTCTGGCTGACAACATCGTGGGTTCAGTGGTGGCTTTCTCTCTGCTCCTGTGGGTTCCCTTCAGCATCCTGGTCCACTGTGTGGTGAGTGTGCACACCTCAGTCAGGACTAACACACCTGCCCCAGTCGATCCCGGTCAGGACTCGTTAAACTCTGTGCCCCAAAGGTGGGAAAGTAAAACCACTGTGACCGAGTCACTCAGATACTAGAGCCTGTTTACCCTCCCAGCATCAAGGGAGGAGACTGAGTTATTGTGTTACAACGACCCAAATCATCAGACTCAAACACCGTCCCCCGTCGCTGTGAGGTTGCAGGTCCTCACTACAGAGACGTCTCCCTCCTCTGCGCACCTCGCCATCTCAGTGTCGGCCCCTCAAACCAGACAAAATGTTGTGCCCCCCTTACTAACAACACGTCTGTGTGATGATACAATCTTATCCATGTCCTTCACATTTGAAACATCTTTCTCACTCTAGTTCTCTTTGTACTTTCAGGACAAGAAGATGGATCAACAGTATGAACAGACCACCAAGTCGCTGTTCTTCCCCAGTGTAACTATTTACTCTGTATTTACAGTGATGTGTGTTTAGTAAACTGCTTCTCATCTGGCTCTAGAGTCATTTCAACAGTCTGCTCCTTTACCTGTGCAGCAGGACTGACTCTGACTCTTCATTTTCCCAGAATGCTGAGCTCCTGAGCAGCCTGGAGTCTGCGTCTGTTCGGATCTTCAAACCTCCACACTTCCCCACCACCACCACTGCCGCCCACCTGCGTTTCCACCCATCCGGCCCCCAGCAGACTAGCACCCCCCCAGTCTCCAGCTCTGACCCTAGTTCTGGACCTTGTCACGCCCCCCCTCCTCTGGACAGCCCCCGTATGGCCACCATCCAGGAGGACCCCAGCTTTGACTCCCACCTGGACGAGGAGGCTCTGGAGGAGGCGTTTGGGCGGCCGGTGGGGGTGGCTCAGCGCTCCTTTGAGGACCTGACAGAGGCACGAGGCGCAGCGAGAAGACGAAGCTGTTCCGACTGCAGAGACAACATCATATCAACACCAAGGAGACGCAGTGCTGAGAGGACGGGCTGTAGGGAACCGGCTCCCGTCAGGTACCTCCACCCGGGGTACCTGACGGGAGCTTGGGGGGGGGTCTGGCAGTGGAGGCATTTACAGTCTGAGATGTGTTTTAAACTGGCCCTGTGCTGAAGAGCGCTGCACTGTCGTCTCGTTTCTGCAGGAACACTGATCCGAACAAGAGCTACAACAGAGACCAGAGAGCAAATCCCGGATCTGGTGCACGTCTGCCTGAGTCAACAGTAAAAATCTCTTTGGAGTCGAAGTGACTGAAGAGAAGAACTCCGACTTTAACACATGACGTCTGACACATGTATCTGCTACAAGCCTCCGCTTTTTACTGTCTGTAGTAGTTTAACAAAAACCCCGTCCGTCCTCAGTCCCTCAGCTGGGTCCGTCCTCTGTCCCTCAGCTGGGTCCGTCCTCTGTCCCTCAGCTGGGTCCGTCCTCAGTCCCTCAGCTGGGTCCGTCCTCAGTCCTTCAGCTGGGTCCGTCCTCTGCTGCTGAAACTGCTGCACCTGGAGCTGGTGTCACATTGTGTTAGCTGGTAGTAACCACGTTTGCCGATTCTCACACTCAGTCAGCAGCCTATCAAAACAAGGTGACTGCAGGTGAGCGACTTGGCTTTTTGCAGCTGTCAAGGCCAAACTGCACTGAAAGTCAGCGGCAGGTGATTTAAAATGCACCGGTTGTTTTTACAAAACCAGATACTCACCGGTGTGTGTGTCAAAGTGCCTTGATGGACTCAACCTGGAAAACAGCTGCTGTAAACAACCAGTTAGTGTTCGTGATGTGTAAATTACCATCAGCTCCACTGACGACTGGAGACTGATGGCGACAAGTAAACGTCAGCACAAGGTCAACGACTTTACTGTTACACATGTTTCTGTTACGAGTTTATGGGAAACAAACGACATCTGAGTTTTTAAAGTCTCAAATATCTGAAGGGAGTTTGGCCGGAGACAGCGTGAGCACGTGAACGGTAATCACTCCCCACATAAAATTAAAATACTGTGTAGATGTTAGGTCTTTAGATCCTGGTGGCCCCGGTCATTTATGAGCAGTGTAATGAAACAGAACATGTCCAAGTCTTTCTGAATGTTTAGTATTTGTTCTGTTATCACAGCTGTTTTACTTCGTCATTCATCACTTAGATCTCCTCACCACGACGTTAGGGTTAGGGTTAGAAACCAGTTAGTACATGTTGATACACAGATAATACAGTTATTAAAGGGACGTGTGGCTCAGGGATGGGATGAGCTGTTTGTATGTAGAAACAGCTGATTATAAAGTAGTCACTAGTTTCAGCCCTAATTTATGTAATAATGGCCCCTAATGTACAACCAGTGAATCATAAAAGAAAACTAACTAAACCAAACCAAAATGCAGGAAACTGGAAAAGAAGACAGGAAATAAACATTTGGTCTTCCACACTTTCCTCATTATTCACGTGTCATAGATCATCATAACAATTATCGATTATTTTTAATATAAACACCAAAGCCCAGCGTTTAACCTCTAGAGTCCCTGCGTCCTCATATGAGGACCGCACAGCTTGGGTTTCCAAAGCTCAGGACTCTAGAGGTTAAAGGAGACTTCATTCCAAACTTCTGTCAAAGTGAGGCTGTTACAGCCGTTTCTTTCAGGTCAAACCACCTGGTTTCACCAGAACACTCAGTGTTTGGTACCAGGAGTTTGTTTGTTGTTAATATTTTATTTTTTGTGTCATGTTATTTTATTGCCAGTTGGACTCTTTTTTGTAATGACAATCGGTGAGAGCTCAGCACCTTCTCTTCCTCTGTGGTGTTAAGATGCACTAGTCAGTATTTTGGTGTGTGAGTCCTGTGCACTGTGATGTGTGGCTGTGTGTTGGTATATGCAAATGATGCTTTTTCATATTCTGAACCTTCACTGAGCATTAATCTGTGTCAACGTGGTGACCTGTCAGTCGGACACGGGACATTTGACTGTTTTACTGTCTGTTCATGTCGTTGGATGCTGATGAAAAATAAACGTTTCAGCTTCTGCTGGGGCTCAGTATCATTTCATCACATCTAGTCAGTTTTTAATCCTTTATTGAAAGAGTTAATTTCCAGAAATGGCAGGTAATGAAAATTAAAAATAAAAATGCCAGAAATGTACAACACTCTGTACTGGATGTTTTGTGAGAAATGTCTATATAACCCCGACCCCTGGACAACCGCCAATCACAGAAGAACTGTCCTGATTAAAACCAGTGAAAAGATGTGAAACATTTCCTGATTCCAGCTTCTCAGACGATCTGCTGCTTTTCTTTGTTTGCATCACAGTAAACTGAATCTGTTGGGTCAAATACAACAAGATCATTTAAGACGTCACCCTCTACAAATGAGTAACGGACCAACTGGTGACGAATCCTGCTGCCGGTCTGTTAACCTACAAGCTTACAGCCCTGATGCTAGGGAGCTTCTGCTAGCTTAGTGAAGACCCGACACGTAGAGAGCTCATTAACCAGGCAGTGCTAATTATTCACAGCCAATCTGATCTGCTACTGGCAAGGTTCGTCACATCAAACATCAGAGGCTGCTGCCTGCAGGCGAGAAAGTTGTCAAGAGCTCAGACTTCAGCAAAAACTCACTGTAAATGAGGAACCTTTTTTCCCCTGAGGGAGGATTGTGACTCAGAACAAGCTCATAACTGGAAGTCAGGTCAACGTCTCAGTCACGGGGGTTCTGTCATGCTGAGGACCACACTCACACCAACACCTGTTATTAACCAGGTATAACTATAGTTATTAACCATTTTGTCAGCACTTCCTGGTAGCTTACCAACAATATCATGAATTA